GAGAGACAAAGATGCCCACTGGGAGCTGAGATTCATGCGAATGACGAGTCCTGAAAAGTGCTTCCATGTATTCTAATTCATATTTGAAGTCATAATTGTATGAAATGTTGTCACTGGTTTCAAGCCAATGGAAATAAGCATTGTGAATTGGAATGATGTGACCACTGTATGGGGTTCATTATTTGCACTACTTAGGATTTAGCTATAGTTGTGAGTTACTGTGATGGTGAGGGGGTAAGGTTTGAACGAAAAAAAAGTAGCTGATAGATTAGTTAGGTAGGTAGATAAGTAGATATGTGATAAATAGGTAGATAAATGTTAGACAGAGATAGATAAATGGATGAGATAGACAGATGATAGACAGATAGATAGACAGACAGACAGATAGATAGACAGATAGATGACAGATGGATAGGCAGATAGACAGACACAGGTACATAACAGATACTTCTATTCTGTGGAATTTCTAACCCCAATTCTAACTCTAGCCCACCCTCCCATCAGCTGATGCTAATTAAATTTTCTTCTAGCCTTGCCTCTTGACCTATTGACCTCCAGTCCAATGGATCAGGGTGGGAGGAATTACTCTGCAGAAAGATCTTAGGATGTCTGGGCTGAGCAACTCCCCAGTACTGAGGACTCTGGGTAAAAGTGCTTCGAGATTTTTTTTTTTAACCAATCCAATAAGCATTTATTAAGCACCTACTATGCACCAGTCCCTGTGCCAGAGGCCAGGGATACAAAGGAGAAAAAGTCCCTGCCTGCAAGGAGCTTCCATTCTATGGGAGGCCACCAAAGGAAAGAGAACCCTAACCCTGACATGTTTAAGAGGTCTCAAATTGCTTCCCGCACTTCAAAAGAAGCCTTCAAAGGCCAGCATGCAGATGTTAACAAATGGACTCACGACAACCATATCATATCAAAATTAATATTAATGATAGAATCATGTCCCCACTGCCACCACTTTAACAGGGTCAGTGATCCTGTATCCAAATTCCTTTCCTTGGTCATGGATTTACCAGTCGTGAAAAAAGCATCATTCTCTGGTGACAACTTTGGCTAAGTGGCCTTTGGACCATTCCACTTAACAAGGGTAGAATAGGAAGGCACACTCTACCCGGAGTTGGGGTGTATGGGTTCAAGTCCAGTACTGACTCCCACTGGGTGTATGCCCATGCTCAAGTGGCTACTTTGCTGAGCCTTTTTTTTCCTCATCTATATAATGGGGGAAAACAACACTTCTGTACTATCTACCTCACACAATCACCATCCCAAAACTATTTTGTAAACTTTAAAAAAATGACCATATTTAAAAATTATTTTCTTCTTAAGAACCCAGTGAGACAAGCAGTGTGTTAGCTCCATTGAAAAGATGAGAAAACTGTAGCTTTGCGGGTGATTTGTCCACAGTGCCACAACTATCGGGTCTGGGGCAGCATTTCAACCCGGCTCTCCTGGCTGGGCACTGTACCCACTACAAGATCATTGAGAATTCTCGCCTCCTTTTGAAAGTCCCTTACTGTGCCAATCAGCTCGTCTATTCTGAGCAAACAGCTGCTCTGGTAATTAGCTGGTAATCTGCTTTCCTCCATTCAAGCAGAGCTGAATCTCCACTTCCTTTTTCTTCCTGCATGACACAGAGGAGTTGAGATTACTGATCCCCTGGACAGCTATGCACCGGGGCAGCCCTGTCTTCTGAGATCATGCTCGGACCTGCAGCCCGCGCTGGCAGAGATGTCTAAAATGGACCCAACCAACCAGAAAGAGGCTTGCAGGGGGTTAAAGTAATAAAATCAACATTCTTCCCACCCACCCCATATCAGCCCTTACTCTCTTGGGGAAAATGACTATAATCCAAACCCCTGTGACGGATAAACCCATTTTCTTAGAAGAGACTAGGGCTGACTAGAGCCGACTAGAGCTTAACTAGGCAAAAACACAATGAGGCAAATTCAGCTTGGGGGAGGGGAGCAGCAGTATGAAGGAAAAAGGCAATCAGAGGAGATCGGGGTATGGAAGTGCACCATCTCCAACGTCCGTACCTGGAGCAAAGCCCCATTGGCCCAGTGCTGGTTACGGCTCTCAACGGGACAAGAAAGAGAAAATATCTTAATGACCTTGGCAACCGAGGGCTAGTGGCTGCAGACAACATGGGGCAGGCAAAGTGGGCTAGACCTTTAGAGCTATGCTATTCACTTCATTATTTTAAAGCCAGGGCAAATATGAAAGAAACTGACGTTTCTATGATTCTCTTACTGTGAATTTTTCAACCTGAAAATAGCTAGCACTTGTAGGGCACTTCAATAACAAACACAATAGCTCACATTTATGTTGCGCTTTCTATACTATGGGTCAGGAACTATCATCTTTACAATTATTATCCATCTGACCCCCACAGCAACCCTAAGAAGTAGGAGTGGTTATTATCTCCATTTTACAGATGAAGAAACTGAGGATGTGAGAGAGAGACTAAAACAATTTGTCCAGTCTCAAAGCTAGTGTTAGAGCCTTGATTCAAACGCAGATTTCCCAAACCTACCTTCCATTCCACTCCTCCATCCTCAACCCATACAATCTAATACTTAATCATACAGTGTCTTATATCATCCTCTGGGGGCAGCAGAGCACAGGGAAAAGGGTCTTGGCTTCACCAGAGAAAGGCCTGGGTTCCAGGCCCTCCTTGGATCCTCTTTGCCTCTAGCCACTCTATACTCACCTACTGAGTCCTAGATAGGCTGGAATCTGGGCTGCCCTTGCCGATGGCACCCCAAAACCTTTGCTCCCCCATTGTTTCCTGTGTGCCAGCTAGCCTTTTTATGCTGTGAAAAGTTCCTGCTCCCTTATTGGCTGTGTGATCCCCACTCCCAACCCATTTTCTCATCTGCAAAATGGGTAGAATTCTCTTCGTCGTTGGTTGTTGTAAAGAAAGGGCTCGGTAAACTCACACATGGCATAGAAATGTGAACTATTATCCTCACACACACACCCCCAATCCAATGGTGACTGGCTTAAGGGTAGGAACCAAGTCTGCTCTATTCCCCACAGATCTTAGCACTCTTGGCGCTCAATAAATACCCCATAATTGACTGCGTGTCTGATTCTCCTTCTGAAAGGTGCTTACATCTGCTCTTTGCTTACATGCTGGCACTGCTGCTACACTGTGGTGCAGGGGAAACACTGGCTCTCCGCCTGTTTCTTTATCTGTAAAATGGGGATAAGAGGAGCACCTAGCTCCCAAATGACACTTTAGACAATGATATACATACCAACACCAGTATTAGTCATTCTTAAAGGATCCAACAGGATAATTGTAAAGTGCCTAGTACACAGTGGGTGCTTACTACTTATTCCTTTCCCTCCCCTAAAACAGAATGGGATCCTTGGGATCAGGGCTAGGAGGAGGGTTTCACAAGCTTGGTACATGCTTCGTGCATGAGTGAAAGGGAAAGGTGGGTGGACGTGCTCTAAACCATGCTTCCCCCCATTTGACTCTGTTTATCCTGCACCGAGGAAAAGCACCTGGCTTCCCACTCAGATTTGTTTCCTTTCATGCTCCAGATGGTGATATGGTTGGTGAACAAGCAAATGTCCATCATTCAAACGAGCCCTTCATAAAAGGCCCGGGCAGACCCTGGCCGGAGGCTTGACAGGCAGGCTGCATGCAACGCAGGCTGCATGCAACGCAGCCTGAGCTCGGGCTAATCCTTTGGCCTCCTGAGGACGCAGAAGCCCTCCGCACCCGGCTTTACCTGGGGTGATTCCCTCCTGCCTCTGCACAAAAGATTCCAGCCACCCTAGGACTCACGGGGCTGGGGATCCCTCAGGTCAGCCTGAAAGCATCAGAAATTGTCAGGGACTTAGTCCCTGACCTGAGAACCTCAGTCTACCCTGAAGCGAAGGGCAAACAAGTTAACAGAGGCAGATCCCTCGTCCTGGGACTCGAGGACTGCGTTACTCAACTGCAGCTGCCCTTTCACAGAAGGGTGTTGGATCGGAGTCAGAGGTCCTGCGTTCAATCTGTCTCCTGCCATTTGGAACCTAGAGACTTTTGGCTAGTTACCACCTCTCTGAGCCTCTGTTTCTTCTCAGTAAGACGAGGGGATTGGACTAAACCATCGCTCAAGTCCTTCCTAGTTCTAAATCTATGAACACCGAACTTGGAGTCAAAAATTGGGTTCAAATTCCACTGAGTAGCTGTGACCCCGGGCAGTGCCTCCAGCAACAAAGTCCGTACTGAGTGGAAGCGGAACCAGTCTGCTTTAGTAGAGGAGGCTATCCACACCAGGATTCCCTAAACCGACAGAAACTCAGGTCTGGTATAAAAGTAATGTGTTGTGTGTTCCCATCACTTCTGACTCTGTGTGACCCCATTTGGGGTTTTCTTGGCAAAGACACTGGAGTGGATTGCCATTTCCTTCTCCAGCTCACTTTACAGATGAGGAAACTGAGGCAGAGTTAAGTGACTTGCTACCACCTAGCTGCCCCCCATAAAAATAGTTATTTACATTAATAAAGACTTTGTTTACCATTTCATCTCTCAGATCAGAGATAAAATAGACGGTGGTGAAGAAATGGCCTTGAGGAGCTAGATGAGTCTAAGGGCAGCCATGCCACCAGTCAGTCCTCTGCGTTCTCTATAGAGACCACCACTTCTTAAATTAACAACCCCATCTGTGCTATTAAACAGAAGGAAAAAGTTCACTCAGATAAGTACCACCACACCAGCTCAAAGAAAGTAAAATCAGCTACAGAAAAATAAATAAATAAATGAAGCCCCAGGAGATAGTAGCTTTCCAGATTGGCTGGGCTGGGCGGGGTAGGAATTCCTTATCATTGTGCTGCAGGTCTGCAGACTCACCTTCTGATCCCCTCTGGACCGTGACCCTAATGTCGCATTACGTCAATCGTGTCATCTCTTGACAAAGGGTCTAACCAAGGCTTTGGCAGCATTGAGCTACTCTGCAGAACCCCCCTAGAATAGGTGATGTGTGGCAAACACGATGAAAACCCGACATTTCCATTTTGCTTTCCTACCAGGGGCAGGAGCAGAAAGGGTTGCCACGAAGGACGCTGGAGGCATGGAGGCCAACCTCTCCTTGGAAGACGAGGAGTGCCAGATCGCTGAGAACTACAAGAGGGTCTACCTTCCCGTGACCTACAGCATCGTCTTCGTGCTGGGGCTGCCCCTCAACAGCATCGTTCTCTGGCTCTCCTGGTGCCGCACCAAGCGCTGGACGTGCACCACCATCTATCTCTCGAACCTGATGGTGGCCGACCTGCTCCACATCACCACACTGCCCTTCCTCATTGCCAACTACTCGCTGAGGGACCGGTGGCCCTTTGGCGACTTCTTCTGCCGGCTGGTACGGTTCCTGTTTTATGCCAACCTCTACTGCAGCATCCTGCTGCTAACGTGCATCAGCGTGCACCGTTTCCTGGGCGTGTGCTACCCCATCCAGTCCTTGGCCTACCGCACTCGGAGACTGGCCCTCACAGGCATAGGCGTCACGTGGGCCCTGGTCATCCTGCAGGCACTGCCCACCCTCGTCTTCTCTGAAACGGGGCCCAACAACGGTCAGATCGTCTGTCACGACCTGAGCCGCCCCCCCGTCTTCGGCCACTTCTTCGTCTACGGGATGATTCTGTCTTTCTCAGGCTTCCTCGTGCCTTTCCTGATCATCCTCATCTGCTACTCGCTGATGATCAAGAGCCTGGTGAAACCCCCGGAGGCCCAGATGGGGCTGGGCAGGGCCGCCCGAGCCAAGTCTGTCCGCACTATTCTCGCGGTGTGCTTCCTCTTCGTCCTCTGCTTTGGGCCCTTCCACGTCACCCGCTTCATGTACTTCTGGTTCCGGCTCCACGCCACCAAGAACTGTGCCCTGCAGGCGGGGGCCAGAATGGCTTATAAGGTGTGGCGGCCTCTGGTCAGCTTCAACAGCTGCCTAAACCCGGTGCTCTTCTTCCTGTCCGGTGGCAGCAACAGAACCAGGCTGGTCCAGGAACTGAGGCAAAATAAGTGAAGCTCAGGGCCTGCCAGAACAGCGAGAAGACCTGAGGAAGGTCACAGCCACAGCTGGGGAGGCCCGTGCACTGCGGAGATGGACCTCTTGCACCCAGCGCAAAGCAATCCAATCGGGAAGAGGAAAAGGGCGGGACAGTCTACCCTTGGCACAATCATTTTGGGAGGGGGGAGCGGGGCAACTCAATGCTAACAGGGCCGCCTATCCCCTATTCACCCCTTGCATTGCCACTGATTCCTGACCCTCCAGAGAAACTGGCAAACAGGCAAGGAGGGAAAGGAAGCCCTGGAAAAGGGCCACACAGGTGACAGGCAGGTGGCCCAGGGTTAGGTCTGGGAGGGGACTTACCACATAAGAGCTGGAGGGACCAGAGAATGCCACAGGTAACAGCACATCCCTGCAGTCAGTGCCCTGGGCCAAACCCCTGACTGCCCTACCCTCGTTATGGGCTCTGCTCTCATGACTTGGCTTCAGGAAATGTCTTAATGGAGAAGCAATGGAAACATTCTGGGAGATCAGAGATAATACCAGACAAAAGAAAAAGGATCCTGTCCAAAAACAATGAGGAACACGGCCCATTTATTTCCTGCATTTCTAAGATGTCCCAGTGAAATACCACACAACTGGTTCGGTTGAATCCCACCAAGCCCTGCCCCAAATGCCTTTCAGACTAAAAGGTGGCCAGCTCTTCCCCAGAGCTGGGGACAGCAGTAGGAGGTATGGAGGGAACAGCTGACATGAAAGGTTTTAACTTCCCAGTCAAAACCTAAGAATTCAATAGTCAACCTAAATTCAAATTAACGACCCAAGTTATTGCAGGAAATAATTTTGAACACTGCGTCCTGATATTCATGATGGTGTCCCGCAAGCGTCCCCTTAAACTGCAAATTACAGATGAGTCAAATCGCCTTAATGGAGGGAGGAAAGTTGAGGATGGGGGGGGAGGGTAGGAGAAGGGGGAGGGAGGGAGGAAGGGAAGGGAGGGAGAGGAGGAAAGAGAAAAAGGAGAGAAGGAGAGGGAGGGAGGGAAAGGGAGAGGAGAAAGATGAAGAGAAGGGAGGGAAAGGAGGGAGGGGGAAGGCAAAAAGAGGGTGAGGGAGAGGGAGGAAGGAGAAGGAAATGAGAAGGGAGGAAGAAGAGGGAGAGAGAAGAGAAAAGAGGGAGGGGGGTATGGTATGATTTGAAGAACAGCAAATACAGGTTTACGGCTCTTAAAATGCTCACTGGTTTGAAGAATACATCTTAGATGTCGGAGTTCCTTACAATTCTTTCTTTGAATGAAAAAATGTTGTTCTAAAGAACTAAGTTGCAGGGCAAGTACTGATGGATATTGGTAAAATTTGGCTTTTAAAAAAAAAAATCCTGGCTTATTAATATGACAAAGAAGGGAAATGTTGGCTGTTGGAGGGGATGTGGGAAAACTGGAACACTAATGCACTGTTGGCAGAGTTGTGAACTGATCCGGTCCTTCAGGAGAACAATTTGGTACTATACCCAAAGGGTAGAGTAGAACTGTGCATACCTTTTGATCCAGAAATACCACTGCTAGGTCTTTACTCCAAAGAGATCAAAGAAAAAGAAAAGGACCTAAATGTACAAGAATTATAGCAGCTCTTTTCATGGTGGCAAAGAAATGGAAAAGTAAAGGGGTGCCCAACCATTGGGGAATGGCTGACCAAGTTGTGGTAAATGATTGTGATAGGATACTATTGTAATAGAAGAAACGATGAGCAGGATGGTTTCAGAAAAACTGGAGAGACTTACATGAACTGATGCAAAGTGACGTGAGCAAAACCACAAGGACATGGTACACAGTAACCACAACACTGTACAAAGAGAAACTGTACAGGATTTAGCTATTCCCAGAAATACGATGATCCAAGACAATCCTAAAGGACTCATGATGAAAAATGCTATCCACCTCCAGAGAAAGAACTGATGTTGTCTGAATACAGACCAAAGCACACTTTCTTTCTTTCTTTCTCTGAGTTTTCTTGTACAAAATGACAAATATGGAAATGTTTTACATGATTACACATGTAGACCTGTATCAGATTGCTTACCGTCTCAGGCAGGGGGTAGGGAGGAAGTGATAGAATTCAGAACTCAAGACTTTAAAAAAACCCAAACGTTAAAAATTGTTTTTACGTGTAAATTGCAAAAAAAAAAATAACAAAATAAAATGAAATAATATTAAATTTTTTTTTTAAATATAGGTGAAAAAAAATCCTAGCTCACTCAGACAAACTTTTCTGCACAGATGAAACTACAGGCTGGGGGGGAAGGGGGGTTTACAGTTCCATTCTTCACAAGCATAAGACTGAGGAGGCACAATGAGGCAACGAGTATCCTGAAGACCTGGTGGATTCAGACGACCACAAGCTGTGGGCCAAGCGTGGTGCCAGAGCCTGACAAAGGTCTATGACCTTGAGTGCATTTGGAGGGGCAGAGCTCCCGGGACTGGGAAGGGGCCTGGCCCGCTGTCCTCTGCTCTCTGCAGACTTCATCTCCAGCACTGAGCAGCACAGTGTCAGAAGGGCTTGGACAACGTGGACAGTGCCCGGAGCGGGGCAGCTAGGATGAGGAAGGGCCCTGAGTCCATGAGATGGGAGGGTATCGGTTTAGCCAGGATTAAATAACACGCAGACTATCTTCAGGAGAAGGTAAAGGGCCATCCTGCAGAGGACGGAACTGGGCCTGTCTTGCGTGGTTCCAGAGGATAGGACCATGAGTAAAGAGGCAAATTCAGCCTTTGACGGTCAGAAAAATGATCTAACAGTTAGGACTGTCCCAGAGTAGAACAGGACCCCTGTTCTTGAAGTCTGGCCACCCGTGAGGTATGTTAGAGCAGAGACTGCTTTTGTGTTTGGTTGGGCTGGACAGCCAACTAAGATACTTCCAACTCAAATTCTGAGGCTGGGAACGATCATTTAAATTGTAACAGGATGTTATTATAAAGTATGATTAAACGGGCAGATCAGAAAAATGTAAGCCAAGTTACAGGTGCAGTGAAGCCATACTACGACCGTGTTAAACATTTCTTTTTTTTTTTGAGGCAATGGGCCCAGGGTCACACAGCTAGTGAGTGTTATGTGTCTGGGGTCAGATTTGAACTCAGGTCCTCCTGACTCCAAGGTTGGAGCTCTATCCACTGCGACACCTAGATGCCTCTCGTGCTAACCATTTGAAATAAATATTTTAAACAACTTTCACATCTACCTATAGTAGAATGTGACTGACGCTTGCCACAGTTGAATATAAGAGTTACCACCAGCAGGCCCCAGGCTCGTAGAGGAGTCCTGACCACCCAAAGCAGCTTAGACAGCGGGATGACCAATCCCTGTAGGCGAATCTGTAATAGGTATTATCACCCAAGGGCTCATGGCGCAAAGATAGGCTCACCCCATCCTTTTCTTTTTGTTTAAGAGGATGGCTTTAGACCTTGTTTCTCCAGTAGCTAAAAACATAAATGTTACAAGTCTAGGGAAAGATTTATTTCCAAAATTAATTCAGTGGTTGTAATCTGTCCACATTTTCTTTGTTCTGGATCGCCTATTAATTTCTAATTAAGAACAGAAATGCTATTTAGTCACAGCATAAAGATAAAAATAAATGCTTACTTATACAGCTATTACAATAAAACTAAAAATAGGTTTTTCCTTTTGTAACTTTTTATCTATTTGTGTAAAGGTATACAATTGTCATCTTCATTAGGACATGTTTCAGTCATTACAAGAAATGTAAAAAATATTTTGCCAACAGGACTACTCCAAGATAAAGAGACGTTAAGAAATTTAAAGAGTTTTACCTAGATAAGGAGGTCTAGCCACGATTATTAATGAATTTTCCCTAAATAAAAAGAGCTTTTATTACCTGCATATTCCCCATTACAAAAACAGAAGCAAATATACATTTCCGGTTACACTCCATTTTATTTGATATAAAACTCCAGGGTTCTTTTGGTTGGTTGGGGGCTGTTGGCTTGCTTGTTTTTGGTTTAAAAAAAGATAACCTACTCAAATTTCCAGATTCGGAAAACACAAAAATGAGATGACCTAGTAAAAAGCCCCTCAGCAGAGGCCGTCTCATCCCCTTTAATCTACTGCCCCCAGCAAAGTGGAGCAAGGCTTTCCAGCGCATTTTGATGGACTTAGACAGTAAATAAATTAATAGCAAGCAGTTAAGGGTAACCCCTTTGCAGCAAACCATACAAAAGACATGATCTAAGATAATGTCCAATGTTACAGAAATACACTTGGAGCAAAGAACTTTGGAAAGAAGCTGTTAAACACGGTAGGAGTCCATTCCCCCCTTCCAGGCCATCACTGCTTCCCCGGTGTCCGGCTCTCCCAAGCACAGGATTGCAGCTGCCTCTCTGGCGATGACTGCTCTTCAAACTCATCTGCAAACACACATTACAATGAGTCATGAGCAAGAAAGCGGGACTGAGACTCCTCAGGACCCACAAGAAGGGTCCCAACAAGCACGCGGAGCCTCCCCCAGTGCTGTCCAGTCCTGGAATTCTCTGCCTTGCTCCGCAAGGGCCAAACCCCTGATGCACATCCAGACAGGGTCAGGGCTCCGCCACGACTCCCTCTGGGCCCAGGCTGCACTCGCTGCTCAGATTACCACAACCGTCAGTGACGCTGTACAGTAATACCGCCGCCCCAGTGAGAGGGAACAGAGGCTTTCTGAAGCGACGGCAGTCTCGCCGCCCCTCCCTGCCTCATTCCTTTCGCTTGGTGCCAAGGAGTCTCGGCAGTGCTCTCAATCTAGCTGGCTTTCCTGGGTCGGATCTCTCCAGAGCAGTCAGTCTGAACCCATTATCACAGCACGTTAGGAAGAGCAGAGGTGCACCAATCAAAGCTGCCTGGAAATGATCTAAGATCTGGCAGGGTGTCCAGCTGCCAGGGGGCTTCACCCAGGCCAGTATGAGGCCCAGCCTTGCTAACTCAGGAAGGCCTTCCACAAATGGGCCGGCCCCCTGAGCCCATGGAACAGGGCTCCAGACGTTCAAGAGTTAAAATGAAATGTCTTACAAGCTACCAGAGGCAATTTCTTTAAACCTCCAAAGTCAGCTGAGTAATAAATATGATGTTAACTGAAACACAGACCTTAAACCAAGGAATCTGTTTGGGGCCAATTTTGAAAAGAAAACGAATTCCTAGTGGACCTGGACCCTTCAGATTCAATAGACTTTTCAGTCAGAAACAGAACTTTTCTAATGGCTTCAAGTAGTCAGGCTAACCAAAAGAGCCCTAAATTTTATGTTAAGATATCTTAAAGAACTAAATCAACTAAAGAACGTCATATAAAATGTGCACAACATTTAGCAATGACTAGAATAAAACAAAATGTCTTCTTTCTACCCCTGAAGCATTAAGAGAGTCACCAGAAGAGAAAGATAAAGCTGGCATTCTAGGACTATAGCCTTCTCCTCCCCGTCAGGAAGAAATGGTACTGGGCACGTAAGACAGCAACACTCACTACAAAGAATGAAATCCATTCTATCTCGAGGGGAAAGGAATGATTACCGATACAGGTACGGCTTCACTGAGCACCCAAATCAGAGTAAGATCGCAGGACCTCAGGAAGCATGCACTCATGGAATAGATCAGGACCCCAACGGAAAGCCAAGGCCACAGAGTGGGGTGACCTGACCGGCAGCCAGGATGCAAATCCCCATCTTTGGATGCCATGGTCAAATGGAGTTTCAAATACTTTTTAAAAGGGACTAGGAGCTTTCCACGAGATAGAAAGTGAAGCTAGAAAAGTAACAGCCAAGTTAAACAGCAACAAAGCGTCTGCGCGATTTACGCCATGGGCATCTCCAAGGCTGACAATGGGCCAAAGTGGGGCTTCAAGTAAATGAGTTTCCCAATTAACAGTTCCCTGCCAAAGTCAGTCTTGTCCCCTTGCTGTCACGTGCGTGCGTGCACACACACACCCTGAAAAGGTTGCCCTGAAGCACCACATGCCACAATTCTAACTAATTCTGAGTAACCCGAGTGTGATTCTTGGCCTCAGCTCCTTCTCCTCATCCAGCAGGCGACAGAGCCAGAGAACAGCTCAAGAACAGAGAGAAAGGGGATTGCCTGGCCCTCTGTAGCTAGCCTTTCTTAAGTCTTGCTCTAAACACTGGGCCTTACTTAAACAGCACGTTTACACTTGACAACGAGGGTTATTTTTACAGAAAACGCACACCAGAGCAGAGAAGTCCAATCCGTGAGTGACTCCGTTTACTAAGCCCATTGGAAGCTTTGTTAGCCGGGGCCCTACGATCCAAAGACGCCGCCATAGCTGGGGCAGGATCCCCAACTGCAACCTCATTCCTGAGGGCTCTCTGTGCCAATCGCCACTTACATGCCAACACACAGCAGCAGGAAAAGAGCTTCTGTACCTTCTTATCAGCACCGAGGTCCAAGACAGCTTCCTAAATATCTGCCACTGGGGCTCAGACTCACCCCACTTCCCTCCAATGTACAGTCAGGTGCTCCATGTTACTAAGCTGCTGTATGTTGAAGCATTTCAAGACTCCTCTATCCATGACAACGGGGAAAGAGGGTCTTCACTGAGTTAGCGTGAATGCCTGGGCCCATTGTTAACAGGTTGACAAGTTAAGGTCGCATTCACAAATTCTGGCCTTCAAACACTTACTTGGTGTGAGTCTTCTTTGACAGCTCCACCCTTTGCCTGGGAGAACAATTAAGGCTACCTCCTACAAGAGAAGAAAAGGAGAGGACACTCAGTCAGGTCAGTGCTCACACCAACAAATGAGCAGGCTCGGTAAGGCACAGACCAGCCCTCTGGCAGGGTGGGAGCACAGCTCCCACCACTCCCGCAGGAGGCCCCCCTGTGAGCTGGGAAGGGCTGTATCCTCATTACAGCTAAGGAAACACAGCCAGAGAGTGGCAGGACAGGCCTGGAAGCCAGGGCCAACCCCAAATTCAGTGTTCTCTCCATGATATCAGACAAACACACAAGTGTGTCTACGTATGTATATTTATGTATTCAATCCTACAAAAGATTATTTGTGTGTGTGTGTGTGTGTGTGTGTGTGTGTGTGTGTGTAGGAATAAAGTTGGTCTATGGCTGGAGTGTGTACATATGTGTCTGTATTTTTTTGTAGGACTGAATTGGAACATATAAAACCAAGTCCATTAATATATGCTACACACAAATGGTGAGCCCCCATAAACAACCTTTAGGGATTGAAATGGTTCCTCTGATACAAGGAAGAACATGAAACAAATGAGCACCTCTTGTTAAAGGTGGTGTGGAAATGTGCCCTTCTTTAATACACCACTCAAAGCAGAAAGATGATCGAAAAGAAGAAAAGAACTTTTTACACGTACGTATGTCCTAACATTTCCCCAACCCCCCAGTGCGGTAACTTCTGATAAGGAGATTATATATCCCAGGGGATTTATCTGGCAATGAACAGAAGCAGTGACATTTTAGGGCAGGCAGTACACACCATATAATATCCAAAAAACTAGTATATAACTTCTAGCAATGCACATACAGAAACTAAGACAGAAGAAACTATGGGGGATAAAAAGAATCCTTACCCACAGTGACATCATTTCAAATTATCTGAAACAGCAGCACCCAGGGTTTAAAAGCCTCTTGTGACAGAAATGCCTTGTGTTTCAATTATCACCTTCAGAATGCCACTCAAAATTCACAAAACAATTAGTGGCACAAAATATGAAAACATTGAACAGATTTATAAACCAAGACTGAATTCAATGTACTTCTGCCACTGGGATATGGAATACTAAATCAGCTCTCAATCCTTCCCCACATCCCAATTTCACCCAGAATTAAGAGAGCAGCTTAATTACATTACCTCGAGTATAATCCACCAAGTACAGCAAAACCACTGCTAAAAGTGATACTAGGAGAAAAACAAGAGGGGAAAAATCTTTGAGGAAACATTGCAGCCCCGTCATAGCGAGAATCACAAAGCGAGTCTGCGGCCCACTGACGATCCCTGGGGATACAGCTTCAAAGGACAGAGAACGTGGCTCCTCTTCCCAAAGAGCTGAAGTGAGCCCTAGAGATGGCAAAGCGCCAAGACCCCCTCCAGCATCCCCTGCCCCTTTCCTGAGTCCCATCACTGAGTCCTTCTTGGTATTTTACTAAGAACCACTGCCAACCCATGCTAAGAATCACTTGTTCTGCGACCACACTGACTGGAAGTTCAGGCCTAGGATTGCAGGGTCTGAGAACGAAGTCTGCCATTTTTATAAGCTAAAGGGGCCATGCCCTAGATCACAGAGTGAAGTCAATGGCACCTCCACTCCGAGATCCCAGGTCTCCAAACCACCCCTCTCCAAAGGTACATTTTCCACCACATCCTGCTGGTGCTGGAGCGTACAAATCTCAATACATCTACTGGATAATTTCCTATGGTTTGGCCTCAGGGACAAACGAAACCTGCCTTTACCTATCAGGGGACCAAAAAAGACTCCAAAAATATTTGTTATCAAGTACTTACCAGAAACACAGGCAATGAAGAATATTTCTAAAAAGAAATACCCCCAAAGATCCAATACTTCCCCAGCAACAATAGACATTATGGCCAGGCCAAGATTCTGGATGGACTGCATGCTAAGAAACAAAAATTCAAATATGTAAGTTTTCCACCCAGATGCTTCAAAAAATATTATTTATGTGCAAAATTACCAACACGGACATTTGTTAACACAACAAATAAAATCTGAGTAGCTTGATGATCAACAGTAAACTATTTCCACCTATCTCCTCAGCGTGGGGAGTCCGCCACAGAAGGCCTTCCCTTGGGACTCCAGACATTTTGTGGCTCCCAGGCAATCCCTGGGCCGCTCGGTGGCTTCTCAGCCCGAGCCGGGCTACGAGACCAGTTCACCTCGCTTAAAACCAGTTTTGTTTAATGATGACCTTTAAACCACTTCCTATACACAGGACACTGGCAAAAACGTGCCGCCACCTTACATCCATGAGACTTTCCGGTGCCCTCTGGGTCACCCGCGACTGGGAACCTTCCGCGACGCTGATGTTTTGCTCGACAGCCAGGCAGCGTCAGTGGGAGAATGCTCAAGGTATCAAAGCCTTCTGAGACCGGTCCATGCAAAACCAGAGAGTGCCACTGATGAAAATGGAAAAGCAGGGGGGCTTGGATGTCACTGCCTCTTCACACCACTTCTTCCAGTCCCATAAGTGACCCTGGAGAGTCCGCCGTTTGTGGATGACAAATCAGCATTCCACTTGGTGAGAACAAAGCGGAGGCGCCTTTCACGCATCTATTGAGCTCCTACAGCTCTCCGCAGAGATGCAGCCAGAACACACGAGAGGATCATTATCAAGACCAGGTAAGGCGCAAACTGATCAAAGAGCAAAGTGGGGGGAGATCTCCTGGAGACGGGGATGCCCAGGAGCTCCTACTTGTATCACGCCCCAGAAAACCCCAGGGGCTCCTCAAGCAGATCCCAGGAGACACAATCCACAGGGAAAAGGAGGACGTTCTTGACCGGACGGGAGCACACTCACAGGGTTAGGCCCTTGGCGCCGACCCTGGGCAGACATCCTAACAACGACTGGACCCAGGTCGGAGGAGAAGAGCAGGGGGCTGCATTCCAGGCGTCTCCATCATGCCCCAAAAACCTGTTCATCCAGGAAGACCCCATCCACGTGGAATCTGCACCTGGGAAGGACTGTTCCCCACTGGGCCCCCTGTAACAGAATGGCTCTTCCCCGAGCCCAGCCCTCCCCTTCCTCCCTCTCACCGGGCGGCACACAAGACGTCCCCATCACGCGCCCCGCACCCCGACCCCGTCAGCTTCCTTTCACGCACTGCCGTCCCCATCAGGATGTAAGCTCCCTGAGGGCAGGCGCTGAGTGTGCGCTTGTGTTTGTGTGCCCGTCACTCCCAGAGCTGGGTATGCTGCCTGGAGCCCCATAAACACTTGCTGCCTAACTGGATGACATCTGGACACAGCGAGCAGCCTCTTCAGCCACCGACAGCTGCATCACGGACTGTCGGAGGGAAGGCAAGTAAAGAACGGCAGCTTTCAATGTGCCGCGAGGTTTCCCAATGAGTCTACGGCCACAGGGTTAATCAGGAAAGTCTGCGAACCTGCTCCCTTCTCCCCTCGAGGAGCCTCTATGGAGCGTGTCTGGTGCAGGCCACTCAAACAATGCAATACAACCACTGACAGCGACACCAGCGTTCAAGGGAACCACGCCACACAACGGGAAAACTAATCCAGAAAACACGTGGCCCGAGGCCTCAGCCTCGCACCCAGGCTCTGCTGTGGACACCCGCCGTGGGGTGTCTGTGTGTGTGTGTCTGTCTGTCTGTCTGTGTCTGTCTGTCTGT